CCAGGCACGGTGCCCGGCCCAGGTCCTCCAGCTGGGGCTGCCCTGCGGTGGCCTCATGGGTCTAGGGGCACTGGGAGGACAGAGGGCAGACCGCAGCAAGTTCTAGAGGAAACTCCAGACACCCAAACCCTCCCAAACATATCCCTGCCCTCCCCTCCCCTGCACCTCCGTCCCCAGCCCTCCCCGTGCCCCTCACACAGGAAGAAGACTCTTCCTTTCGCAAGCCCTAGGAGCCCCCGAGCCAGCAGGCCGCTCCCCAGGTGTTCCAGGAGGCCGTCCCCGGAATGCGCGCTTTCCGCATGCAAAAACCCGCGTTGTCCACAAGCATGCACCCCCGTGCGAGCACTGTGTGGCACTTACCCACACGCGCGGGACTCTGTGCTACTCCGGTAGACGTGCACAACACACACGAGTGCTAAAAGACCAGGGTCCCGGACCCTGCCCCCATCAGGACGATCCCTGCCCGGACCCCAGGTGCTGCCCGCCAAGGCTGCCTCCGTGGCTGAGCCATGCCACTCCCGGACCCTCCCCTCCCCCAGCAGAAGCGCCCGCTGAAGCGCGGGACCAGGGCGGCCGGGTGCCTGCCCGTGCCGGGAGGCGGCCGGGTGCCAGGACAGGGCTTCTCACCAGACAACACACGGTCAACGGCCCAGCTCCCAGCCGCCCCCAAACCCAGTGCGGGCCTCAATTTACTTGGCTGCAACTCCGGTCCTCCCTCCTGCCGGCTCCCCCCACCCCCCCACCCCCACCGGAAGGGCCAGAGAGATGTGGCAGGGCTAAGCCACGGCAGGACCACTAGCCGCCTTCTCAGGGGCACCTGTTTGTCCTGCCCTTGATGTCTGGCCTGCGCCCAGGGCTTGAGGACTCGGACCTGCAGGGGAGCCGTCCTGACCACCCAGCTGCCACCAGCGGCCACCGACCCCTCCCTTGCGCTGTGGCGCGTCCAGTTAGCAACGAAAGTGCTCGCCGTGGCCCCAGGTCAAGGGGCAGCTCAGACTCCCTGGCAGCAGGACAAGCAACACGAGGACCTGGCGAGAGGACGTGCTGCACACGTGAGCTCACTGGGGGACGTGGTGGACGGCTCTGCTCAGGAAGCCCAGGCCTTGCCCTGCCCTCTGCAAAGGAAACCACCATCTGCTCTCGGCCTGCCCCCTTTTCCTGCCTGGAATGTGGATGTGATGGCTGGGGTGCTAGCAGCTGCCTTAGCACCAGGAGGAGTAAGAGACCAGGCTGCTGACCCAGCACCTTGCATCCAGCTTCCCTCTGGGAGGGACAACCCACCCTCTTCCACATGATGAGCTGCTTTGACTTGCATTTTCAGTCACAAGCAGCACAACAGGAACTAGATGACCATCACACCCCCTCTCAGGCACCCCCCCCCCAGATGGCATCCCCAGCCTGTTCTGCAGTAATGTTGGGTCAGCCCCAAGCCAGACTCTGTGTGCCCCTCACCCACCCGCCCAGGACCTCCACCACCGGCTGTGTTTGGGACAGGAGCTCTGCCGGCAGGAGCGGACATCTTCCTCACTCACACTTGCCACTGTCCCCTCCCCTAGAGACCTCCTAGTGCAGCCCAGGGCCCCCCACTGAGCTACGGTGGACAGCTGTGCCTGCCCCCATCAGACTGCGCTTCCTTGGCATGTGCTGGATGTGGCCCAAGGACCCGCCACAGACTGGGACAGAAAGACTGGCTGGGAATGAACGGGGTGGGGGGCAGCCACCCTGCCAGGTGGTAGGCCAGAGGATGGGGCGCCTTAGCCTGCTGGGTGGGGGATGTGATGGCCAGGTCCATCAGACCCAGGGGCATGCGTCTGCAGGAGGCAGAGGGAGGGCTGCTCACACAGGCGCCCAGAGCCTGGGGGGCTGACCAGGACAGATTCTCTAATTACACATCGTGATGTAATTAGAATCTGTTCCCAACTTAGGAGCCCGGAGGCGGGAATAATTACTGCTGTGCACAAGCCCTGGGCACCCAAGCAGGGAGACGGGCACCCAAACCCTGTGCTGTCCTTGTCAGGCACTGACCGGAACCCAGAGTGGAGGTCAAGGGCCTCAGTGGGGGTCCAGGGGTGGGGCGGGGGGCTGGAAGCTCTGCATTCCTGAGGACCTCAACCTCAGCAGGGAAAGCACCTGCTACCCCAGCTCCAGCCCCAGCCCGGGGGCACTCCCCTCTCCAGGCTCTTGGGCTCCCTCCTCTGCAGACAAAGTCCCAACCCCCAGGGCCCCCTCTTCTGCCTGCAGAGACCAGGAGAACAGGAACGGAAAAGGCTTCAGCCTGGCAGGAGGCCCCGCAGACTCCATGGCCCAGCAGCCTCTGTGGCACCAGAAGACATCTGAATTCAGATACAAGTAAGCACTATTTTCTCCCCAGAATCTGAAAAATCACATTTCCCAATCTTAACAAAGCCTCAACACAAGCCAACATCACGAACACGTCTGTAATTATCACGGTAACCGTGTTATTTTAATACCTTTAGAAGAAAATGCAGTTTATTGAGTCTATTTGACTTCTAAATAAGGAAGCTGTCCACGCAAGCCAAGGGTCTCAGGTCCAGAAGCAGGGGACCAGCTGGCCCAGGAACGCGACATCAGAGACCGGAAGGCTGGCGTCTTGCTATCTCCAGGAGCCGACTGGCTCTCCCGGTGTCCTGGAAACGTGCACTGATAGCGGCACCCTGGAACCCAGGTCATGGGGTGGCGGCCAAGAACCCGCTAGGGCAGGGCGGGGGCCAGGCCCCAACATCTCAGCACAACGTGACCAGCCTAAGCAGCCGTGCCGGGCGTTAACGCCGCCTGAAGGGTATCCCAGGAGCAGTCTGCGCGACGCCGGACTTCCACAGGCAGCGCTGCCTGTGCCTGACTCACCATCCAGCCGAGCCGGCCCCGCACTGACACCGGTCTCTGCCCAAGGAAAGGGCTCCGAAGCAGCCCGGGAGCCCGAGCCCACGTGAACGCCGGCACACGGAGGCTGCGCGGCTGCCTCGGGGCCGCCCGTCACCAGCTGCCCGGTGCCAGCCCTGGGCCCCTCTCGGTGCAGCCCCACAACCCAGACAGCAGAGACAACAAGGCAACGTGAGCCAGTCCTGCCGGCCTGCCTGGAGCGGAGTGACCCCGAGGGCCGTGCGTTCACACCAGCTCCTTCCTCCTCTCCAGGCGCTTCTGCGTCGGGGCCCCAGGAACCCTCTCCCCTCTGGACACCCTGTGCAGACACGAGGCCCCCCCACCCAGACCCGGGGCTTGGTCACCTGGGCCAACGTTTCCCGTCTCTGGTTCATTCACTGACTCACTGCCGCACCCAACAGGGCAAATCACCCCCTGCCCTCAAGCGTTTGTCTTCGGGAAAGCCAGGCAGCTCTGAGAACATAAGGTTAACACCAGGCAGGACAAGGGCTGGGTGCTGAGGCCTGGGGGCACCAGGAGGCCCTCATCACCATGAGGGGACCCCCAGCCCACCGCCCAAGGCCCCAGTGCAGTGCTCTGCTGTCCACGGCTGCCCCACGCCTCCCCGTCCTTCTCCCGCATGGCTGTCCCACCCCACGAAGTCTCTGTCGCCCAGCACTCTGCCCCATAGGCAACGTCGCCTCCTCCCTGCCCCACTTGGCGAGTGGCCGTCGACTCTGGATGTGGACCTTCGGTTCACCTGGGAGCTTCCGAGAATCCCACTGCCCTGACCCTCCCCAGACCCAGCGTGTCTCCGATGATTCCCGTCTACCTGGAACCTGAGAGCACGACTGTATTTGGAAATGGAACCCGCAGTGGAATTAGCTGAGGGGAGGTCATCTGAAATGACAGCGGCCTGACCCAGGGACTCCCGGGAGGCAGAGGAGCGACGGGAGCGATGCAGGCACCAGCTGGGGACGCCAGAGCTGCCAGCAGATAGGATCGCCCCATCTGGAGGCCTCCGGAGGCAGCACGGGCTTGCCAGCAGGGACCACACTCCACCGGAGAACGCATTCCTGGTGTCTGAAGTCACCTCATCTGCTGACGTGTTGCCCAAGACACAACCTCGGTGGGTGCCGCAGGCAAGTGTCCGGCCCGGCCCACACTTGTGGAGAGAACAGGCAGCTGCGCGTCCAGGGGGACGTCTGTTAAATGGGTCCCACGGCGCCAGTACCGTGCACGCACACATGCACGTGCACGTGCGCCAGAAGAACGGGACAGCAGATGCGGCAACCGGGACCCCAGGGAGAAGAGGAGAGGGGTCCTGGGGAGGGAGGATCCTGGTGGGTCACTGGAGTCCTTCAGAAGGGGGTCCCGACGACATCAGGCTGGGGCTGGGGGACCTGCAGAGGTGAGCCTGCGGGCACCATCTGTGCCAGAGACACAGACCCACGCAGCCCTGCACGAATACAACTGTTCCTCTCACCACTTAATCTGCCATGTTGTCACGCCCACGCCGTGCACACCAGAAACCACGCATGTGCTCGCAGCTTCCCTTCCTGCTCAGCGGCAGGCGTCCGGCCACACCCAGGGGACACCCGGAACGGCCTCTCCCGCCACAGCTGTCACCGGTGTCCGGCACTCTGCTCTGGGGCTGAGGTCCCCACACATTCGAGGCCTCCCGGTGGGGGGGGGTGGTTCTTCAGAGGTCAGTGGTCAGGGCAGCCTACCCTCCACGCACCCTCCCCTGCCCACGGTACAGGCTCCCCCGGCACACCCTGGAGCTGCGGGAGGCCGGGAAGTACTTTCCCTTCAGATAACACGTAACGCGCTAGGGCGCCTGGGTGGCTCAGTGGGTTAAGCCACTGCCTTCAACGCGGGTCATGATTCCAGAGTCCTGGGATCGAGCCCCACATAGGGCTCCCTGTTCAGCGGGAAGCCTGCTTCTCCCTCTCCCACTCCTCCTACTCGTGTTCCCTCTCTCACTGTGTCTCTCTCTCTGTCAAATAAATATATAAAATCTTAAAAAAAAAAAATTAAAAAAAAAACAAAGAACACGTAACGCGCTCACAGTCACCGCCGCCAAACTCGGACGCCCGGAAAAGCGTGATGGAGAAACGTTAAGACCGCGGCGGGGCCCCACTCGGGTTCTCCCGCACGTGTTTATTGCAAACGTGAGTCGATCACAAACACATCGTAAACAGCTCATCTCGCTTATGGGGAACCGGTGTCCGTGCTGAGGACAAGAGAGCATCGTCGCTCAGAGGCTGGTGTCCAGACGGCCGTGCTGACCTCCAGCCGAAGGGACTCAGGCTCCCACCCGCAGCCTCAGAGGCCACACCTGTCCCTTTCTGTGTCCTGTTCCTGGGAGGCGCGACGCTGTGTGCTCTGGTGGCTAGAAAGGGTCCAGGATGCCCAGTGGGGGTGGGGCACAGGCTCGGATTCCCTTCAGCCACCCATGCCTGGAGAGCCTTGGGAGACGCTTTTCGGTGTCTGGGAACAGCGGGCACACCAGCCGTGGCACCAGAGATCGATGACATTTCCAGAGCTCACGCCAGTTCGGCCACAAAGCCCAGAGTGCCTGGCTCTTGGACGCCCCGCCCGCACGCCACAGCCAGGCAAGGGGTACTGGGTATCCCGGCCCTGGCCCCGAGGGTGATGGGGCTTCCCTGGGTCTGGAGCTGCTGCCCTGGGTGCCCAGGCCACTGGGCCACACGACCAGCACCACTGACCCCATGGGACGTGGACAGGGTGCCCCCACACCGCACACACCCCCCGGACAAGCCAGGCCCTTAGGGGTGAAGTCTGTCCCTGCAACCTGGCTTCCAAACCCCGGGCTTCGGACAGGAAATGCCCATCTTGCTCTCAGGCGGGACCAGGTCTGCGCCGTCTCCGGACGGCTGGACGGTGGCGGCCCTGCTCACCTCAATGCCAGGCACAGGTCGGGAGCGATGCGGGCTTGGAGCTCAAGGGAGACACGGGGGGAAAGGGCTGGGGGAGGGGCACGGGGGCCATGACCCAAGAGGAGCAGACAGGAGCCCCTGGGCACTGGGAGGGCAGCAGCCGCCCACAGAACCCGCCTGGAGAGGATCTCGGGCTGCAGAGGAGCTGGGGAGGCACATAGCCAGGCGGGTTGGGGATCGTGCCGAGGGACCCCGGGCAGCCCGCGAGCAGTCTGGAAGGAAGCCCAGGGACTGTGGGAAGCACAGGGGAGCTGCCCTCACCCCGACACCTGCGACCGTGCCCTCACTTTCGCGGTGGGCTCTCCGGCCAGGTTCGGGACAAGGACGGCAAGGGGCGGATCCCTGGAGCTCCTGGGACGCCTCCGGGCCGCGTCAGAGCTGGCTGCTGCCGTCCAGCTGCACCTGCCGGGCCAGCTGTTGCCCGATGGCCAGGAGGGGGCCGGCCCTGTAGGCTGGACTGGCCAGCAGCTCCCGAAACCGAGCCCTTTCTTCCTCCCTGAAAGAAGCAACATCAGAGCAGGTCAGCAAACCCCGAGCCTTCTGCGTGGGGAGGGGGAGGGGGAGCATCGGCAGCTTCCCGGCCCGGCCGTGCCGTCTCTGGGCACCTCGGGGCAAGCTAGACACTGGAGTGGGTAGGCCAGGCGCCAGAGTTTACACAGGGCAGAGTCCCTGGGGCCCGAGGGTGGCCTCGGGGAGGTGGGTGGGGGCAGTGGCGCCATGGGGGTGGGTGGGGAAGGCAGCAGGGCAGGGAGGGGGCTCAGGAGCGGCCTGGCTGGGTCAGGCCCCAGGGGGACTGGCCCGAGGCGGGGGTGGGGGGAGTGGCCGCCCTGGGGCCCCTCAGGACCACACAGGCTCTGGAACCACCGTACCTATGGTGGCAGCTCAGCCACGGCTCTGAGGGACTGGCACCCCTGCCCACCCCCCAGGACGTGGGCTCCGGGCCCCCCACCCCCAACTCCGATACGGAGCTGCTATTCAAGGCAGGAAGAAAAAGACACACGTGGGGAGGCAGACGCAGCCTGACATAAGAGGCGCCCTCCCTCCCTCCCGCGCTGCCGCCCCTGGGCCCAAGATGGGCCATGCCCACAAACGGGCGCCTGGCGGGAGCTGGAGGCTTCCTCTGGTGGAGGTCCGAGCCCCAGCGGTCCACAGTGGTGGCCGCCACTCTCGCCACGTGGGTCTCTACGCCCAGCCAGCCCCCAGGTGGAGCCTGTGGTCACACCGCCTCTCGGAAGCACAGGGGCGGGGCGCCTGGGCAGCTCAGTCAGTGAAGCCTCGGCCGTCCGCCCAGGTCACGATCCCAGAGTCCCAGGATCAAGCCCCGCATCGGGCTCCCCAGCTACAAACAGGCTACTTCGTGCCAATGAGAAGCCACTGGCCAGAGGCCGGACAGTCCTGGGGAGAGGAGGGAGGACAGGAGCGGGTGCACTACAGGCCCACCGTGGCGGCGGCCGTACTCACAGGAGTTGGAGCCTCTCTGCAGCGCTCATGCGGCTCAGCTCGGCGGGCCGGGGCCTGCGGCTCACCCTGCTGGGGGCACAGAGAAGCAAGTCAGCACGGGCTCCCCTCGACCTTCTCCCGCTGCGACGCCACAGTCGCCAGCACAGTCTGCCCCTGCAGAGCGGTCACCAGGAGGCACACGAGGCAGCAGGAAGGGCGAGAACACCAGAACCCCGGGCCAACACCTAAATTTAGCCTCCAGCCCAGGAGACCTCGTCCTTTATTCATGGTTTCCGTTGAAATATGAATGAGAGACTCGTCTCCTGTGTCCATGCTCAGTGCAGGCCTGCGGAGACAGCGGCTCAGAGCCACACATTTCCCTGGGCCATCGTGGACGCCCCGTCCGCGGCCAGCCTGTCACGCGTCACACCCGCAGCCTAAGCCGCCACAGCTCCGCTCCTCTCACTGCTGTCCCTCCCCGTGCTCACCCCGAGCAGGCCCCTCTCGGCCGTGGCTGGCATCTCCAGGCCCTGGATCCGAGCCCCCACCCCAACACCCCTGTACTCCATCCACAAAAAGGTATAATCGGACTGTCTGGGTGGCTCAGTCAGTTAAGCATCCGACTCCGGATTCTGGCCCAGGTCACGATCTCAGGGTCATGCGACTAAGCCCTGCGTCGGGCTCCGCACTTGGCAGGAAGTCGGCCCCACCAGCACCGCAGGCAGTGGCTCTGGACACCAGCGGACGAGGGATGACCCTTGGGACAACCTTTGTGCCCCTGAAACCTCAGCTTCCCTGTCACACCGGCAAATGCTTTCGTGCGGGAGCGCCCAGGAGACCCCTAGCTTTGCGGCGCTCCGGCAGGCAGCGGGGCCCAGCCCCGGCACTCGCCTGCCGGTGCACGGGAGCCCACGTGGCACGTCCCACCCCCTGGAGCCTAGGAAACCAAGCAGGCAGAAACCCCAAATGATGCCGGCTCGTCCAAATCCACAGCTCCAGGTGAGGCCGTGAAGTCCAGCCGGGGGCGGCCCAGTGGGTCCCGCGGCGCTATTCCCAGCCCGCTCTCCGTAGCGGCTGCTGGTCTGTAAGATCGGGGGGGGGGGGGCGCCGAGCCGGCAGGAAGCACCTCCAACCCTGGTTGCCAACCAGGGGCGCTCTGAGAATCCACAGCAGCAGCCTCAAGATGTGGCCAAGGCCACCAGGCCCACATGGGGTCCAACAGGTGGCTGGCCTGGTGGCTCAGCCACACATAGCTCCCCACTCCAGTTCCGGAAAAGACAAGGTGACCTTGGCCTGACGCTCTTTTCCCAGAGAACGGGTTTCCTAGAAAACCTAACCTTCCACCGATAAACAGTGTCACTGTGTTGGTGCAACTGGGCAGTGTGGTGCCCCCCAGATGGCAGGGGACACCACCTGGGAAGCCGTGCTCAGACCACAGGCTCCCTGTGGCCCCCGCCCCCCGAGGCCACATCACGGGTGTGGGACGAGCTTAGAGCGGCCCAGGGCCTCGGTCAGGGTGGCCCAGTAGGTGACTGGTGACCCTTGCACTCAGGTCTGGGGGTCCAGGGCCACAAGGCCAGCCCCTTCCGATGCTAGGACACACCCAGAGAAGGGGGGACAACACACACTAATCAGCAGTCACCTGCTGTGGCCCATCCAGCGCGGAACCTCCCCCTGGCTCCAGGACCCTGCCCCGGTGAGGCAGGAAGGGGACCAAACGCTTCCTGTGACCACACTGAGGGCTTGGCCTGTGCTCAGGACTGCAGGGCTGAGGGGTGAGCTCCTGGGGACTCTACCCTGTAAGATGGGGCTGGGGGCTCTCTGGGCCGCAGCCGGCTCAGAAGCACAAGGGAGAGAAAGGAAACAAAGGCCCAGCTCACCAGCCGCCTGGGGAAGGGGGACACCGAGCTCAGAGGGCACGGCTGGTTGGCACAGTCCCTGTGTACTGCAGACGCAGACACGGGCTGTACCCTCACCCCACCCCGTGGAGACAGGATGGCGGGAAGCTCTGCATTTGGACCCTCCTGGCCCCCGCCCAAGGGCCTCTCCCGTGGCTAACTCTGGCCCGTTCCCTTCAGCCTGCTGAGTTCTGAGTCCTAGAGAACAACTAAAACTAAGGGTGATCCTGGGGACCCTCAGACTCCAGGCCAGTGTTACAGGGAAGGTGGTCCTGCGGTGCCCAGCCGGCTCAGTCAGTGGAACATGTGACCTGGTGTCAGGATTGTGGGTTTGAGCCCCACAGTGGGTGTGGTCATTGCTTAAAAATAAAATCTTAGGAAAAAAACAAACAAAAAAAAGGATGGTCTTGTAAACCGTTGTGGTACTTTTGCAGGAACGCACTGGGGACGCACACAGAGCTCCTCACTCCCACCGCAAGACAGACCGGGGCGCCCGCAGAAACGCTGATTCCAGGATCAAGCAGGACCTGCCCCAGGGGGGCCCTGGAGCACCGGGCAGAGCCTGAAGGGAAGGAGCCCCCACCCTGATGGGCGTGTCAGAGGGACAGAGGAGCCACCTGAAGGGGCTCCCGGTGGCCAGAGCCGGACCCGTGCCAGCCAGAGTGAAGTCGTGCTGGATCACAGCCCGCGCTGTACGTAACTACCCACGAGTCTGCACTGACATCGGTCAGCGGCTCACGCGCGCTGGTGCCGAAACGGTATTTCTCTCCTCCTCCGAAGGAGAACCCCCCAGTGTCTGCACAGCCGCTCTGTCCTCGGGGAGTGGAGTGTGCCTCCCCCTCCTTAGGTGTGGGCTGTGCCCCAGGGGACGGTGCAGGGAAGGGAAGGAGCCACGAGGGGTGGGGACACCCGGCAGACCCACCTCCGCCAGGGGACCACGGCCCACGTGAGCAGTGACAGGTCGTGCTAACTGCAGGCACCTGGGCCGGATGGGAGGAGACGGACACTTCCCCTCTGCGGTCTTCCCCCCAACAGTCCCTGACCCCGGTCCACCCTCGAGGAACCACCTTGCGAACCCCAGCGAGGGGCATCTCCCCAAATGCCTGACTGGGCCTGCACCCAACGGTCGGGGTCCTCGGAAGGACGGTCACAGCCAAGAGGAAACGGAAAGGGACGTGATCGATGTTGCGTGGTGTCCTGGACGGGATCCTGGGACAGATGTTAGGGGACACTGAGGAAATCTGACTAAACCGTGAGCTTAATTCCATCGCTCTTATTTACTGCTGTTATTTACGTATCAACGCTGGCTCCTTTAACGGCGCCCGGTGCACCCCGGAAGCTGCCGCTGACAAGGGGCTGGGTGTCAGGGACGTGGGAACTCTCGGTCCTCTCATCATTCTTCTGTAAATCAAACTCTTCTAAAATAACCTTACTCAAACAAACAGCCTCCCAGTGCCAAAACACACTTGAGGAAGGACAGTGACCCTGTCCAATAGGAAGCTCAGGGGGGAGACCAGCTGGGGACCTTCCCGCACCCGGAGCGCCGGAAGCCACCTCAGCTACGGCCCGGCTCGGCACCCAGGCCGCGCGAGGCCACGCGCCCTCCCCTCGGCGGCCGGCCGGGTGCTTACGCGGCTCTTCTTCCCCGGGGGAGCCCCAAGCACATTTTTCAGATGAGAAGGCTGAAAGCCGGGGAAAGGACACTTGACCGGGGTCACATTTTTTATGGAGAACCAGGGGAATTTGCCTCTCAGGCTCTGGCTCCATCCCCAGTCTCAACTGTGAAGGCCACTCCTTGACTCCCTGTCCGGACTAAAGGTTCTGGGTGCTTCCATCCCGGCCAGCCCGGGATCTTCCGACTCTGCGGCCTAGTGGCCCTGAGCATGTCGTCGGACACCCCCCTGCCAAGCCAATGCAGTGAGGCCCAGGGAGGGACTGCAAAGGGACTGGCTTCCCTAGAGCACGTGGGTCCTGGGGAGGCAGGAAGCTGCTTCCGGGAGGGGCAGCTGAAGGCCGTGCGTGTGGTGGCAGGCAGGGTCCCTGCGGGGTGAGCCCAGCAGCTGGAAGGACCCACCACACCGCGGCCCTCCCGGCTAAGCCACTCCGAGGCCCGCAGTGGAGAAGGCCGACAGGCGCCCCTCGTCCACATGCCGGCCGGGCCGCTCGCCGCCAGAGGCCCCAGGGCTCCCAGCCCCACTCGAGGGAGTCACCACGCCACCTGCCTGCCTTGAGGCTCGGGCCACGGGAGCGAGAGCTTCTGCACCAACAAAGAGGTCAGGCGCCTCAGCGGCCTCTGCCTCCCCCCGGCCCCCTGCCGGTTCTTCTCGGGGCTCTGGACACAGGTCAGCGGCTGCCGCCCCGGAAAGGCCGGCCCCATCCTGGTGCCACAATCCCCAGGCCGCAGACGGACACTCACCCTCGGGCATGGGGCTGCCGCGCACCCGCCTCCAGCTCCAGCAGCTCAGGGAGGGCGTCTCTCAGGGGCTGCAGGTCCCCCACCACCACTGCGGCCCTCCGTCTCTGCTCCGCCTTGCGCTGCCGCTCCGCCAGCTTAATGGCTTCGATTTCTGGGGGGAGGGAGGACAGTGGGTTAGCGAGAGGAGCAGAGAGCAAGGGACGAGCACACAAGCAACCGGCTTCTTCCCTGAGCAGGGCCGGCGGGCGGCACCTCCGTTCGCCCGGGGAAGCCGGAGGCAGGCCGGCGGCCTAACGGCGAAGGCCAACACCGAGCTGCACGCACGGGCGCTCTCTTTCTGAAAGGGACGCTGGCGCGGCGGCCTACGCGCGGTGGGCGTGGGGGCTGCTCCATCAGAGGGGGCGAGGGGCGGACGACAGGAACAGTGGGTCACGGAGGGTCACGCACGCCTGTGCTCCGCACGCTTCTCCGGGGACGCACCAGCAAGGAGAAAGCAGGTCCCCACATGTGGGAGCAGGCATCCCGGGGCTCCCAGAAGGCGCTGCACAGTGGTCTGGGCCTCTGAGGGGGCAGCGCAGCCCCTGGGAAGGGGGCCCTGGGGTAGGCTGGGGGCCAGCATGGCTGAGTGGAGAACAGGGAGCTGGAGGAGGAGCCCGCACTGGCAGGGCAGGGCCTCCCCGCTGGAGGAGGGACGAGGGCAGGGCCTGCGTGGGGGCACAGCCTTGGGAATTTCTTTTTTTTTTTAAGATGTATTCATTTGAGAACACGTGGGCACGCGTGGGGGCAGGGCAGAGGATGGGGGAGGTGCAGACTCCCTGCTGAGCGTGGAGCCCGACACAGAGCTGCGTCCCGGGATCCTGAGACCAGGATGTGAGCCGAAATCAAAAGGTGGACACTTAATTGACGGAGCCCACCAGCGCCCCAAAGCCTGGGGATTTGATTTTCACTTAGAAATATTTTTACTTTACAACTGCTAATAAAATACGTGTTCCAACCAGTGTGGCTGGCGGGCAACTGCCAGAATTTGGGAGGCGGCAGCAAGGCTGCGGCCCAGTCACTCCCCCGACTCCTGTGTCCACACCTGCCGGCTGACGAGAAGCCCAGGGGAAGGTCCCCAGAAACCAGGCGTGTGGCGGACAGCACGTGACAGATGGCACCTCGCATCATGCACAGCGCAGCTGGGTCCCAGCCCCTGACCCCGGCCCGGGAACCACTCACACCCCTTCCATCACCGCCCCCCCAGAGGCTCGCGCCCCTGCCCGGCAACGAGAAGACACGAAAACGAGAGGTGAGGAAGATGAAACGCCCTGTCCACTTTAGGCGGCGTGGTTTTCACGTAGAAAGTTCTAAGGAAGCCACAGAGTAACTATCAGGACACACGACTTTAGCCCCCTCAAAGGACACGATACTAAAACGCCGTCGTACGCACGAAGAGGGTTGCTGGGGGAGGGTGCGGAGAGGGCGGTTGGGGGACGGACACTGGGAGGGCACGTGCTGTGGTGAGTGCTGCGAAGTGTGTCAACCTGACGGTTCACAGAGCTGCACCCCTGGGGCTGGTAATACGTTCCGTATTAACACAAACTATAACAAAAAAAGCCACGTTACTTACTAATGGAAAACTAGAAAATGAATCTTTCAAGAACCCCGTGACTGTAACTACAAAACCGTCAGCAACGAGCTTAACAAAACAGGACGAAGACCCTCGTGAGACCCCTACCGTGAAGGCCGTATGACGCCAACAACGGAAGTTAAAGAAAGTCCACGTTAAGCGGAGAAACAGACGTGTTCGTGAACGTGAAGATGCGGTACTGTCAACGCGGCAACGTTCCCCAAACTGACCTGAACACCCGGGCACCGCAGCCGTAGCCCGGCAGGGCTGTCGGTGGGTTGGGATTCACGCAGCCGGGCGCCCACGGCAAACTCCACACGGAGCTGCCACGGACGTGGCCCCGCAGCGAAGAACCGGGGAGGAGGACGTGGCCACGAGACCCCACAGCCTCCCCGACAGCGGCGCCCCCAAGCCGAACCAGGCCCCGGAGGCCAAGCAGCGTGCGCGAGGACACGGAAACGAGCAGGGGAGGGACGCAGAGGCTCCTCGACAAACCCCGTCCGGGGACAGGGCACCCCGCGGGGAGAGCGAGCCTCGGCCAGTCCCGCACGCGCCCACACACACTCCCCGAGATGGCCCAGAAGCCGAGCCAACCGAGCGACGGGCAGTCGGAGACACAGGACGGCGTCTTGAGGACTCGAGATCGGGCAGTTTTCCTACAGGAGACACACACACGAGACAACCACGTTAAAAAAAGGGTAAACCCAGCCCCTCACGGTGCAGGAGGACGTCGGCAAGAGCGCTGGACGCGGCGACGGAGGCGAGGGACCCCACGAACCACACCCAGCCAGGGCACTCACACTGTGCACGGGTGCTGTGGCCGGGGCAGCGGGAACGTCTGACGGCTCCAGACAGACGTCCGGTCACGGCTCGTAAAACCGAACACACACCTGCCTGTGGCCCGGCGTCCCGGTCCCAACTAGTCCTCGCGGAGAAATGGCAACACGTTCCACGGGAGACCGGAACCGACGCTCGCAGCCGCCGTCCTCCCAGCAGCGAGGAGGAGTGAGGAGCAGGCGTCCAGCAACAGGAAAGCGGCCGCACACGGCGCACCCAGATAAAGCCTCCCGGCGAGAGAGGGACCCGGGCCACAGCCCCACACGGAGGCGGGGAACCTCGAACCGTCCCGCGGGGCCAAGAAACGTGCGCACGCACCGAGCACACCCACGAGGCCGGCTTGCAGGCCGTCTGCCGCCGTCACATCCCAACCACGGACTCAGAGAGGCGGCGGCGGTCACGGCCGGGGCCAGGGATGGCGGGGACTAGTGGGGGGCACAGGGGGCTTATTGGGGCTGCTGCTCCACCTCTCTCGGGGACTGCTGGTACCTGCGCGTGCGGCGGCCCGCAGCCTGGCCGTCCCTCGGAGGCCGGCTTCTCCCCACAGTGAAGAGAACCGCCAGCAGAGGCTACGCTGCAGCAGAGTCATTCGGGACAAAGTGTCCTGCCGTCTGCCACCCACGGAGCAATGTGTGGGTGGGACCCGGGTGGTGGACAGATGGGCAAGAATGGACAGAGGAACAGATGCAGTAAAGAACAGTGTCCAGGGGTGCCCGGGTGGCTCAGTGGGTTAAAGCCTCTGCCTTTGGCTCGTCATGATCCCAGGGTCCTGGGATCGAATCCCGCATCGGGCTCTCTGCTCAGCGGGGAACCTGCTTCCTCCTCTCTCTCTGCCTGTCTCTCTGCCTGCTTGTGATCTCTGTCTGTCAGATAAATAAATAAAATCTTTTTATTAAAAAAACCTTCAGGGGGGCGCCTGAGTGGCTCAGTGGGTTAGAGCCTCTGCCTTCGGCTCAGGTCATGATCCCAGGGTCCTGGGATCGAGCCCCGTATAGGGCTCTCTGCTTAGCGGGGAACCTGCTTCCTCCTCTCTCCCTCCTGCCTGCCTCTCTGACTACTTGTAATCTCTATCAAATTAAAAAAAAAAAAAAAACCTTCAGGGAAAAAAATTAATTTTAACCATGAGAGGACATACCGGGTGTAACAATTTTAAAAAGTCAAAAGAACCAAAAAATAGTATAAACAAATAAATAAAAATAAAAGTGAGCAGAATCACACTAAAATGAGAATAATAAGGAAAAAATCGCAAAGCAAGCCTCGTAGGAAAATCCTTAGCAAACCACCAGTGCGTATTCAGCAGCAGGAAAACACTCTAGACGGGACACCCGGCGCAGTGCGGCATCTGCCGGAGGCCCGGGACCAAGCCCCTGTAGACGGGCTGGGGGAAGGGAGGCGCAGGGGCCCCAGGACAGTTCTGCCAGGAGACCCTTGAGACAGCTCTGTCACCTGCGTGCTGACGAGCCAGCCCTGCACATGCGGAGCCCAGAGCCACAGTGCTTGGGGAGGAGGGGTCAGGGCATTGTTCCAGGCCATCAGCCACCTATACGGGGATGGGGGCCGTGGGGATGGGGGGCGCAGGGGGCTGGACACGGACTTACTCTGCAGCCACCTCTCACGCCGCAGCTTCAGCTTCTCCTTCTTGGGTAAAACCACCCTGGGCTCCACACCTGAGGACAGAGAACACACGGGGGTGAGCGGGGCGCTCCATGCCCACAGTGGGGAGCTGGAGCTGTGCATGGCGGCCCAGTGTCAGGCAGTGCCCCTGACCCCGGGAGGACCTCCGGCAGGCGGCCCAGAGACCCCACACAACTCATCAGGAGGAGGCATGCGCTCTCCGCTCGGGAGAAGCCTAGTGGCACCGAGGAGGAAGCCCAGGGCCCTGAGCCCTTGCACCCTGGAGCGGAGGCTCCTGGTCCCGCCGTTTGCACGGGCGCTGCCCAAAGCCAAGGGTATCGGGTGAGTCTGGCCAAAGCAAGAGACGGTCCCAGATCTTGTCACTGATTCTACCAAGACAGTAAGAAAAACCCACTTCTGGGGCGCCTGGGGGGCTCAGTGGGCTAAGCCTCTGCCTTCAGCTCAGGTCATGATCTCAGGGTCCTGGGATCGAGCCCCGCATCGGGCTCTCTGCTCCGCGGGGAGCCTGCTTCCTCCTCCCTCTCTCTCTGCCTGCCTGTGATGTCTCTCCATCAAATAAATAAATAAAATCTTAAAAAAAAAAGGAAAGAAAAACCCACTTCTCCTCACACAGTGCCTTCCGCAGGGGTCAGCTGTCCACTCTTGCCTGCCAGCATGGGAACATGTCCCCAACACGTCCCTGGCCTTGCCAGCCCAGGGTCACAGGGTGAGGAGTGCCCCACACGCCTTCTCCTCTGCCCCAGAACACAGGCCACGGGTGGACCCTGCCACCACCCTCCCTCCTCCCCCCAGCTCAGTGGGCAGGTGGCCTCCCCACCCCATCAGCCCGCCCTCACCCCCATATATGCCTGCACACCCACATTTTATGGACTAAACTGTGACCCTCAAACGCACATGCTCATGTCCTGATCTCCAGGCCCTCGGAATGCAACTGTGTCAAGACACGGTCTTTACTGAGGGCACCAGGGTGGCCGATCCGAGGTGACTGGGATCCTCACAGGAAGAGATGAGATCACAGACACGCATGGGGACGACAACACAAGGATGTGGGGACGACAGCCATGTATGCGCCCACAAGAGAGGCCTTAGGAGGACCCGAGCCAGCCAGCATGCTGACCTCAGATGCCCAGTCCCCAGACCGTGAGGGCTACTGGTGTGGAGTCTGTTCTAGCCACCCGGGCGGACCTGCACATCCATCTGCTCAGGAATAAGGCAAAGCCCTGTGCTTCCACCATATCAGCCAGGCAGCCGACCCGCGTGGCCCTGCCCGCCCAGTCCCCACATCGACTGCGGAGTTACTGGGCACTGGCATGGCGTCACGCGTTGCCCCCAAGGAAAGGGGCGCCCCTAATGCTTGTTCATGAACTACCTGAAGAAACCTGCTGACCTTCAGGAGCACTGGGCACCTGTCAGGGACCCTACGAACTAGCCCCATGTCAGAGGGGGCCGAAACCCCGGGGTCCCAGGAATAGCTAGGGACTGGGATGGGAAAGGAGCGTGCGAGTGAGCCTAGTGGGCCTCCACGGCTCGGTGGCCCCGGGCTGGGCCCTCAGAAACTGCCCTGGGACGATGCTGCTGGAGGGTAACAGAGACACAGGACACGGAGCAAAGCCTGAGCCATGCGGGCACAGGTGGAGCCTCTCAGAGGGCTCAGAAACCCCCTCGGCCCTGGCTACAGGACATGGGGCTCTCCCCGTCAGCAGCCGGCCAGGACGGGGGCGAGACAGAGGAGCCCCTGCCTCCAGCAGGCCAGAGAGCGGCAGGGCAGCACCTGATGTCCCTGACCCAAAGCGGACCCCCAGCTGGACGAAGCCGGTCGGTCTGTGTCACCAGAAGCCATCGAGAGCCCCGAGGATGCTCGGGCAGGGCCTGCGGGTGCCTCAGATGGCACTGCGCCTCCCCTTCCCCAGGGCCCTCCTTCTCCAAGGGCAAGGACGTCAGGATGGGCCTGGAACTACACGCCGGGCAGCGGGACCCCCACAAAAGGAGGGACCTCTCATAAGGTACTGAGCGCCTCGAGCCTCTGCATTCGAGGGTAGCTGGTGGCACAGACAGGAGGGCTGCTTCGGGCGTGGTCCGCACAGTTACGACACAAACCCCGAGAGCCCAGCGGTAAGCCTCTGGGATTCTTCTAGCCGCGGGAAGAGAGGCTGCTCACGTCGCCAGAGCTGCCACGGGCGAGACACGCAGGCGTCCCCGGCTCTGTGCACCGGAGCCTGGCCCGACCTGGGTGGGGCAGGAAGCAAAGTGTGGCTGCCAGGCTCCGGGAGCACAGAGACAGAGCCGTCTGACTGCTGTGTGCCCCACACCAGGGCTGTGGCACGTGGAAACACAGGCTGGGACGACGTGGGGCCAGGAGCCACCAGACGCTGCAGAGCGTGTCTGCCTCCCGTGTGCTCTCAACACAGTGTGGTCCCAGGCCGGCTCCACTTCCTTGGCCTTCACGGGGCCTGAGCCCAGGGCACACGCCACCCAGGGCACAGACTATGAGTCACGCGCGTCTCCGAGGCAGCTCTACTTCCGCCGCTCTTCTGGCTCACACGGCAGATCTGGGGCGTCTGACAGGAGAGCGGAGAGCAGGGCCGTCAAAGAAAGGGGGTGCGTGTGCTAAACTAGACTCTTGGTCTCAGAACCCGGGGCCCCCAGGAGGATTTAATCCCTTCTCCAAGAGTAAGACCCTGCACGCTCTGGCCTTGTGCTGGAACCTGCAAGACTCACGGGACGTGACCCGCTTTCCTCCTTGCGGCCCTGCCACCCCCAAACCCCCGCGGACAGCGGAGGCTTGTGTGACTTTCCGGTCACCCTCAGCTGCTCAGAACAGGGCGGGTGCGACAGGGTGGACAGAAGGGGCTGCAGGGCGCAGGCCCCGGGCACCAGTGCTCCTGAGATGCCCCCACCCCGCTGTGCTGTCCAGCCCCATGTGCGGGCCTGCTATGGGCCACGGAGGGCATCTCTGCAGCCCCACGCAGGCGTCAGAGGCCCCTGGGGGTGGGGGAGACGTCCACACGTCCCAGTGCCATGTCAGCCACAGACGGGTGATGACGGGACCCACCGTGGGGCCGGGGCACCTGACTGGGGTGTAATCCTGGGCAATGGAGGCCAGTGCTGGGAACAGAGCTGACGCACACATCCAGTGGACCAACGCGGGCGGGTGGCCTCCAAGGGAAGCCTCTGACTGCGGGACGTGTAGACGGCTCACTCTCACACGACCAAGGAAGACCAAGACTCCCAGCCGCACGGCCTCTGGCTGACGCACAGGCCACGCACACGGTCTGGGGCGCCTGTGCCTCGACCCCACCCCATGGGCCTCAGCCCAGCAGCCTGTCCCCACGGCACCAGGGAAACAGGAACCAAACATGCCCTCGCTGTAAGACAGCTGAGCACCCGCAGAGGGAGGCCCCCAGGGCATCTAGAGGGTTCCAAAGCCCAAGCCCCCACGGACTAGGCAACGCCCTTGCTCTGCACCGAGGCTACAGCCCTGGAATGACACAGACCAGAGGGCAGGAGGGGCGCGGTGGCTGGTGGGCCAGGTGGACAGACCCTATGGACAAGCCATGGCAGCACAGGCTTCAGAGAAGGTGGCATCTGGGGGCATCGGGATGGTCTGGGCAGCCAGAGCCCTTGGCTGAGCAAGGCCAGACAGCTGCCCGGGCGCACCTCGCTGTCCCTGAACAGTGTCAGACCCGGAGCGGAGGCAGCCCCGGAAGAAAGAGAAACACAGATCCTGGGGGGGAGAGGCCTCCGCGCAGCCTTCTTACAGGAGACTGTCACACACGTGCAGGAGAGGGAGACCATGAAGAACCCTCGAGCGCCTCCAGCTGCGTCCACTCTGACCCGGTGGCTTACAGCACACCTCCATCCCCGTCTCGTGCCCTCCGCCCCCAGGCCCCGCCGGAGCCTGCTCACAAGTGCCCCCGGGGGCCGGAGCCAACAGCTATGAAAGGGGACCCACCCTCGGCACCGGCACCAGGGGAACCGGCCGAGATGGGTCAGGAGACGCTCAGGGGGACACGGCGGTCTGTGCAGGCACCAAACCCCTGCCATGGCCCCACATCGGGGACCCCCTGGGCTCAGCCCCGGACATGCCACCCTCACAACTCCAAGCAAGGACACCTCTCCTGGGCAGACGGGAATCCCCACAGATTCCCTGCCTGACTGTGGCTTCTGCGCTGCGGCACGCCAGCGGGGCCTCTGCCACAGGGGCCGGCTCCCAGGGACACTGGCTCACATCCTACCCAGAGCACCCCCCAGTTCTGCTCTGGCTCAGTTACTCCCGCCCGGCGGGCTGCCCTCCTGTGGTCGCAGGGGTTAGAGGGTGCCGGCCCCACAGGCCCTGGCCCTCCTGATGCCCAGCAGGTTGCTGGGCCACGTCTCAAAGGAAGACACGGAGGCCCAGGAACTGCCCAGAACCAGGCAAAGGGAGCGCAACGGGCACCTCCCACCCCGGGGCCCACAGACCCACGCGCCGTCAGTGTGGGCGGTCCCAGTTCTCACACTCACGACAGAGGATGCGCACCACATCTCCAGCCACCTCCGCGGCACTGCAAGCTGTGTGTGACCCACGAGAGCAGAAACCCCAGCCTCAGAGAAATGGGGCTGGGCAAGATGACGCTGGCCTCTCCGGTCCCAGGCTGGAGGCCTGAAGTTCCGCACGCAAACTTGGGTCCCAGTCTGTCCCAGGGCTGCCGTCCTGGGCGTGCCCTCTCCTCCAGAACCCCCAGGGTCAACACTACAGCCTCGCCGCTCGGGGAGAGGAACAAGAGGTGTCCAGCAGCCTTCTTGACAAGTGACAGAAGCTGCGCCCACCGACCTCAGGGCTGGGGCCAGGAACGCCAGCCCCGGGCGTCCACTTGGCGCAGCGAGCAGTGTGCTCTCACCCGCAGGGTCAGAACCAGGCTCCAGACTAAAGTCAACACTCGAAACAATCAATCCGCTGACCATGCTGAGCAGGAGGGAGGGCGGCCTCCCGCCCTCGCTGTGCCCCCAGCCGTCCTCCGGGCCCCGCAGCCCCGGGGCCGTGGCCTCAGCTACC